ACTGCAAGGGGAAAGATAGGTTATATTAATGGGAGAATCAAAGAACCACATTCTGGGAGTGCTGAATATGACAGATGGAACAAGGAAAACAGCATAGTCATGTCTTGGCTTTTGATTTCTATGCAACCTCAAATAAGAAGGAATTTCATGTGGGCCGAAACGGCAAATGAGATCTGGGAACAAGCAAAATCAACATATTTGGAACTGCGACACTATGCAAAAATCTACCAGCTACAGGCAGAATCATCTACTTGTAAACAAGGGGAGAGGTGTTTATCTGTGTACTACTCAGACTTGACCTCTATCTGGAAGGAGTTAGATCATTATCAGAGTGTGGACTGGAAGTGTGATGAAGATGCAAAACTGTACAAAAAAACTTGTCTCCCAACAGAGAGTGTTTGCTTTATTACATGGTTTGAACCCTACATATGAATCTATCAGAGTCCAGATCCTAGGTAGCAAGGATCTTCCATCAGTTCGGGAAGTTTATGCTCTTGTACAATCAGAAGAAAGCAGAAAGAATTTGATGAACAGTTCTGGAGGAGATGCAGTTGTGTTGGCAGTGAAAGGGAATGTTATTACCGGTGGGGGAAATACTTCTAAGAAGGGGGGTCTTCGAAAAAAGATGGATGACAAGGACAAATTGTGGTGTACTCATTGCCAGAAACCCCGACACACCCGAGACACATGCTGGGATCTTCATGGGAAGCCGAAATGGACTCAAGATCTAAATAAGAAGCAAGGGTCAGATATGAATAAAAAGTCAGGACAGCAAGGTACAAGAAAACACACTATGGCAAACATGGCTACTCAGGAGAATCAGCCCCCCATTCATATTGTAACTCAGACACATCCATCTGGATCTGACCCAAGGGAGGATATTATAAATTCCTTTCGTGACCATTTAGAGCTCTATGGTAGAGCAATTCGTCAGATGGATGCTCCTCCCTCAACTTCATTTGCGTCTACATCAGGTAACTCTGTCACAACTTCCCATGTTGTTTCTCATAACCCTGACACTCCCTGGATCATTGATTCTGGAGTGTCAAAACACATGACTGGTACGTCCTCTTACTTTCAAACCTATCACCTTCTTTCTGGAAGAGACAAGGTGAGACTAGCTGATGTATCATACACTAATTCATTAAACTGCTCAGTGACATTTTTCCCTTCTTACTGTGTGATCCAAGATCTGGCCTCGGGGAGGACGATTGGTAGATGATGTATAGTTGATGGACTTTACATGCTGGAGAATAAGGCTGGTCTTCAAGTCACAGAGTCTAAGAGTCAGTCCTGTAAGAGTCAAGTTTCTTTATAGCATTGTCGTCTTGGTCATTTATCTTTTGAGTCTTTAAAAGTGGTGTTTCCAAAATTGTTTAAGTCGGTGTCCGTTTCAGATTTCTCTTGTCAAACTTGTCAATTGAGTAAGCAGTGTAGAACTCATTTTCTTTCAAAAAATAATAAATCTGAATTTCCTTTTAACATTGTTCATTCTGATGTGTGGGGCCCTGTTACTTTACCATCTGAGAGTGGCTACAAGTATTTTATTACCATTACCGATGATTATTCTAGATATACATGGGTCTATCCCATGCGGACCAGGGATGAAGTACCAAAAATTATCCAAGATTTTCAGCGGATGGTCTTCACCCAATTTCAAACTGAAACCTAAATTTTTCAATCAGATAATGCCAAAGTATTTTCATAGTGATCTCACGGAATTTTTTGCTTCATGTGGTTCACTTCACCGTAGCTCTTGTGCTCGAACACCACAACAAAATGGTGTTGCTGAAAGAAAGAACCGACACCTCCTTGAAGTGGCCCGGGGTTTACTACTCCATATGAATGTCCCAAAATGCTTTTGGCTTGAGGTTGTCCTTTGTGCTACCT